CGATTTTTACTGATTATTGATATTTTCTTCATCGAAGGAACGTCCGACGCAGAGTTTATCAGAGGACCTGGACGAGTGCCAAACACGAATAAGCACAGCGTTGAAGGTTCCAATCCCATATGGATGCACGCTTACGAGAACGAATGGTTTAAGAGCGACGAATCTATCAGTCATACATCTGAAAGAGACTCCCTTGACGAGAACGCGTTGAACAACGAAGAAATGATGAACGAGGCTAATACAGACCAAAGAAACAGCGACAAACCATATTACATCGAACCGAGAGTCTCTTCCGTTTCAAGGTAATTTTTATGCAAATAAAATTACATTTCAGACTGGTTTATGTGACGTTTATATTTTACAATCGCGAATGAATTGTTTCAGTACTGAAAGTGTTGCGAATATACCGAACGACTTTCATCGAAGCTCACCGATATATCGGACGCAAAATGTCATCGTCAATCCTCTTGGCAAGAAAATCGAGACGACGGAACTGTAACTGAACAACGACAACACATTCTGACTGCAAATAAATGCTAGCATTTGTAGGCTTGTAAGAACTGTAAATTTAGGATTACTTATGTAAATAGTAAGACTTCGTACAAACGTAGTATGTATTTAATATTTATTTTATAGCAGTTTTATAAGGAATTATCATGACGAATATTTTATAGGAAGAATTTTCATATTTTATCTATTGATATTTCAACGAAGAACGAAAAATACAAAATATAATTGAGCTCACTTGATTTTACGAATGATCTCCGCACATTAATATAATTAAATACGTCCGTACGTTTATTTTTCTCCTAATAATCACATTTTATTCATCAATGATTCATACATACATTTTCCTGTTGTCAAGAGAAATTTGTAAGAATTTAAAGATGTTTGTCAGAATAAAGGAAATTATATATTCAATAAAAATCTAATTTTTGTTAATCCTTCCCTCTGATCCCACATCGATATCAGCTATTACTTAAATTGCCTCGTCTAAAATCACTGTGCAAAATCGCTATTTCGCTTCGAGCCACCATAATTTAGGACGCATGCAAAATAAAGCCAAACCGACGTGCAAGAACGATCTCGCTCATGTGTACCCTAAACTAGGTCGCATAATATTATGAGCGCGACGGCACTTTACCCGAGCCTT